GGCCCCAGGATTGCTTATCCTGAGGGTTTCAGCTACACACGGGCGGAATGTCAGCCCGCCATGGTGCAGGCCATGCACAGTTTTGTGCCCCCGACAGATAATCGGCGGGCAAAAGCGTTCATGCAGCAGCATGGTGGCCAGGTCGCCATGATCAAGCTGATGGATGTAAGTGTTCGCTCGTATTTCTTTAAACGTTTTGTCTTGCTTTATTGGGTACTTACTATTGTTGCCGTTTGGCAGGCATTCAACTACGCTGTGGCGCTCTACGAGAGCGATCAGGCAGCTCGCACCCAAAACAGCGAGCTCGGTTCGAAGTGCAAGCAACTGGCTGCTGAGAAGGCCAGCCTTGTGGACGATGTGAATCGTCTGCAGGGTTCTGAAATGGCAAACCGAGCCGCGGCTGCTGAGAGCCGGGCGGACGAGCTCGCCCACAAGATCGATGAGCTCAAGGAGGAGCTAGAGCGCGCCCAGGCCGAGCGAGAGAGTGGAATTCAAGCAGCTAAGGATGAGGCCGGCCGGGTTGAAGAGCGGGCAAAGAAGGCTAAGGCCGACAGGGATCAGGCTCAGCGCGAGCTGAGCTCCCTTAGGCACCAGGTCGCCGAGGCGGACCGAAACCTTGCTGCTGCCGGGGAGGCTCTGAACGAGCTGAAGGCTTCCCATGCCCGTTCTGTCGCCATCGCCCGGGCTCAAGGGGCGGAATGGTTCATCGGCTCGGCTGCGTTTCAGGACGCTGTGGCGGTGGCGTCGACAAATGTAACCACGGAGATCTACAATGAGATCCGTGGGAAAGTACTGCAGCACCGCCCGGATTTCCCAATACGCGAGCTGGTCTTCTTTGACGAGGAGGAGCTAGACGAGCAGGGTAAGAGCCTTGCTCCCCTCGCTGATGCAACTGTGAGGCTGAGATGGGATTTGAACGAGGAGGGCGTGCCCGTCTGGCCACCGTCCATTCTGGAGGACGGGGAGGACCCAGTAGGACTGCCCTCGTTTGATGCATGGGTGGAAGGTGCTCCTGTAGCTGAGCAGGAGCCTTCAAGCACCCCACCCAAATCTCAGCCCGCTGTGGTGCCGACCAGCTCGCCCGTCAGCGTGCCAGCCTCTGAGCTCGCCGCCCGATCTCCTCCTGCTCACACGCCTGCAGTTGCGGCAGACGCATCCATGCCCGTCGATCTGACGGATGACTAGGCCTAGGACTTTTTTGTTTTATTTTTTGTATTTTTGTTTTGGCCTTTTTGTATTTGATCGACAGATTCAGATCGCCTGTGCTTTTAATGTAATATCGTTGATGGAATACAAAAATGAATTTTCTTTTTAATCTTCCTTGCATTTTCTGTATATCTCTATTTACAACTGTTAAATAACACCTTGAGCGAAATAACATTACACACGTTAACTGTAAAACTTTCTAAGATTCTGTACATTCCAAAGGTAAGGTAACTGACGCCCGTGTATATCTGCTAACACATAAGAGCCAGGTCGCTTAACTTGAACAACCATATAGGGGCCTTCCCAATTGGGAG